AAGGTTCCTAAAACATTTAAACACTGACCTACCATTTTATCCAGCAATTCCACTTCTCGCTATATACACACAAAAGGTAGGACTGGAATAGATATTTGTACAGCAACATTTATGGTGGTATTATTCACAACAGCCAAAAGGTGAAACAATCTGTGTCCACTGACAAATGGATAAACAAAATGTGATATCTACATAAAATGGAGTATTATTCAGCCTTAAAAAGGAATGAACTTCTGATACATGCTACCACATGAATTAATCTTGAAGACATTACCCTAAATAAGTGAGATACCAAAGTATACACATGATCTCGCTTACAGCAGGTACCTAGAATAATCACATTCACAGAGACAGGAGGTAGAAAAGTAATTACCAGGGGCTGAAGGAGGGAGGAATAGAAAGTTATTTTCTAGGATAAATTTCAGTTTGGGATGTTAAAAAAAAGTTCTGGACAGCCTCAGCCATGAAGTGAGACTCTACCTCTAGAATTTTTTTTTTTTTTAACTAGCCAGGTGTGGTGGTATGTACCTATAGTTATAGCTTCTTAGGGGGCTGAGGCAGGAAGATCCCTTGAGTCCAGGAATTCAAGGTTGCAATGAGCTATGATTATGCCACGGCATGCCAACCTGAGAGACAGAGTAAGACCCTGTCTCAAAAACAAAAAGCTGGGCACATTGGCTCACACCTGTAATCCCAGCACTTTGGGAGGCCGAGGCAGGTGGATTACGAGGACAGGAGTTCAAGACCAGCCTGTCCAAATTAGTGAAACCCTGTCTCTACTAAAAATACAAAAATTAGCTGGGCATGGGGGTGGGCGCCTGTAATCCCAGCTACTCAGGAGGCTGAGGCGGGAGAATTGTTTGAACCCAGGAGGCGGAGGTTGCAGTGAGCTGAGATCCTGCCACTGCACTCCAGCCTGGGAGACAAAGCAAGACTTTGTCTCAAAAAAAAAAAAAAAAAAAAAAAGAGATCTGAAGATGGATGGTAGTGATATTTACACAACAATGGAAATGTACTTAATGCCACTGAACTGTACATTTAAATATAGTTAAAATGGTAAATTTTATGCTATATATATTTTACCACGATTTAAAAAAATTTTTTTTTTAAACAAGTCAGGTTAATTTTGTCAAGGTTTGCTGGATCTACTCAGTAAATTCCACAACATGCTTCGTTTTCATAGGCATAATACTGGTTAGTTAAAGGCTTACAAGGAAATTGCTGAGAGGTTTAATTGCTAGTCTGACCCTCGCACTGCTTTAGAGAGCACATGCTGAACCTTCATCAATATGCAAAAACTAGCATTGCACGTCAACAAATGCATATATAAATAAACATGCAAAAACTTGTCCTGGAAAGGTATCAAGCATTAGAAATAAGTATGTTATTTGGTTGTTGATCCATAATACCGACAAAATTATTAAGTAAACATGACAAAAAGAATTAAAGAAATAGGAGAAATAATGATCTCTAAGTTATTTCCATTAAAAGAATAAAGAGGTGAGTATGGTGGCTCATGCCTATAATCCCAGAACTTTGGGAGACCAAGGCAGGCAGATCACCTAAGGTCAGGAGTTTGAGACTAGCCTGACCAACATGGTGAAACTCCGTCTCTACTAAAAATACAAAAATTAGCTGGGTGTGGTGGTATACGCCTTAATCCCACCTACTTGGGAGGCTGAGGCAGGGGAATCACTTGAACCTGGAAGGTGGAGGTTGTGGTGAGCTGAGATCGTGCCACTGCACTCCAGCCTGGATGACAGAGTTATCCTTTTTTTTTTTTTTTTTTTTTTTTGAGACAGAGTCTTACTCTGTTACCAGGATGGAGTGCAGTGGCACAATCTCAGCTCACTGCAACCTCTGCCTCCCCAGTTCAAGCAATTCTTGTGCCTCAGCCTTTCAAGTAGCTGGGATTACAGGCGTGTGCCACCATGGCCATTTAACTTTTGTATTTTTAGTACAGACGGGGTTTCACCATGTTGGCCAGGACTGTCTCAGTTTCCTGACCTTGTGATCCACCTGCCTTGGCCTCCCAAAGTGCTGGGATTACAGGCATGAGCCACCATGCCTGGCAATTTTTTTTTCTATTTTCAAAAAAACCCTTAAGAGTTCAGCTCAGAAGACATTATGATACTTCTGGGTAAAAATACTACATACCAGATAATAACATAAAATGAAAAATTGGCAAGAGTATAAGAAACGTTTTGCATTCATTATGACTTCATAAGTGACATGTGTGGAGTTACCATGTTGCAAACACAAAACATACCAACATGTCTATGAATATATTCATTCCAAACTAGCAACATAATTGCTGAGAACAACAAAAACATATATAACATTATTTGTCTTCCTGCTTTAGACATATAATAACAAGAGCTTAATACCATTAATTGCTCACCACATGCAATGTACCAAACATGTTTCTAAGTGATATATGTATTAGGTTGGTGCAAAAGTCATTGCAGTAATGACAAAAACCACAATTACTTTTGCACCAACCTAATATATACATATATAACCACATATACATAAATACACATACATATCTCTTATATACGCATATACACACACATATATATATTATATACACACTCATTTATTTCTCATAACAATCCTTTGAGGTCTACATCTTTATTATCCCCATTTCAAAGATGGGAAAACTGAGGCAAAGGGGAGTCTGGACTTTCCCGAGGTCATGCAGCTAGTGAGAGGAGAAGCCTGGGTGTGAGGCCAGGTTCCAGAGCCCACTCTCATGACATACGCTCTGGCACCTCTCACGTACATATGGAAAGCTGGGGAAGATGACCAGCACTACACACTTTATATCGTCCACACAACTGAATTTTGACAACCAAGTTATCCACTTTCTTATAATGAGGAAACTGAAGCCCAGATAATAAGACAGAGGTGGGAGAGAACTCATAGCTCTCATCTTTAAAGTTTCAGGATCTAGCATAGATAACAAAGTCCCTGTGGCCAGCAGTTATTTGAGAAGATTGTTAAAGCAAAATTGAGGTGCAGAAGCAAAGGGTGGGATGGTCTGGCACTCTGGCAGGACAGTGGTGATAAAGGGTCTCAGTGGGCCCCCTGGGGCTCCCCTTCCTCTGAGTTTCCAGAATCTCTGTGTGCCTGACCCTCTATTATCCAATTGTTCCAGCCTTCTTTCTTTTTTTCTTTTCTTTTTTTTTTAGAGATGGGGTCTTGCTATATTGCCCAGGCTGGAGTGTAGTGGCTATTCACAGGCTCTGATCAGCACAGGAGTTTCGACCTGCTCCATTTGCAGCCTGGGCTGGTTCACCTCTCTTTAGGCAACCTGGTGGTCCCCTGCTCCCAACAGGTCACCATTTGATGCCAAACCTAGTGTGGATACTCGATTGGCATAGTGCACTACAGCCTAGAACTTCTGGGCTCAAGCAATCTTCCCAACTCAGCCTCCTGACTAGCTGGGACTACAGGCACGTGCCACTGTGCCTGGCTAGCCTTCTTTCTTATAAGCAAAAACAGGTAGGGAAGGTGATGCTTCTGAAGCTGCACACCTCAGGGACCCTTGCACAGAGCTTCTAGGGTGGACAGATTGGGAGCATCCATTATATTTTTCATATTAAAAAGGCTGAAAGTTTGGCAAAGTATGTGCTCAGATCTCTAGTATTTTGTTTGTTTTAATGGCTATTGTAATTTTTTTTTTTTTTTTTTTTTTAGAGACAAAGTTTCACTCTGTCACCTAGGAACAGACAGTACAATAGACTTTGAGCGCAGTAGGATGATCATGGCTCACTGCAGCCTCAACCTCCTAGTCTCAAGTGATCCTCCTTTTTCAGCCTCTTGAGTAGCAAGGACTATAGGCACATACCATCATGCCTGGCTAATTTTTTGAATTAATTAATTTTGAGATAGGGTCTTGCTCTGTCACCCAGGCTGGAGTATAGTGGCACGGTCTCAGCTCACTGCAACCTCTACCCCCAGGGCTCAAGAGATCCTCCCTCCTCAGTCTCCTAAGTAGCTGGGACTACAGGTGCATGCCATAACATCTGGCTATTTCTTTGTATCTTTAGTAGAGAATGGGTCTCGCCGTGTTGCCCAGGCTGCTGATTTTTAAATTTTTTATAGAGACAGAGGTCTTGCTATGTTGCCCAGGCTGGTCTCAAACTTCTGAGCCCCTGCATGTGTCCTGTAATTCCATGTTTCATAGGTATGTCAGCTTTATAAACTTGGTGCGCCTTTGTGAGACGAAGCACCAAAAAACCATCACTGTGATTACTACCGCTGTTACCATCAGTTATCACCACCTACCTTTGGGCAAGGCACTGCGCACAGGCAATACGCAATTTACACCTCACAAAAGTCTGCATCAGAATGTCTGCACAACACGTACCTGCAGCAGAACCGCTTGGTATACCTGTTAAATAACAAACATTCTTGAACTCCACCCTAGACCTACTCAATCAGAATCCCTGGGGGAGGGCCTCAGAATCAGGATTTTAGGCAAGTTCTTCATGCCATTCTTATCTTGGCATATGAATCCCCATTTTACATAGAAGGTATCAAGAGGTGAAGTGAGCTGACAAAGATGCCATCGCCAAACATAGGATCTGAACTCAGTGAAGCTTGCGGTTATTTCAAGACGGCACAAAAGCAAGTGAGATCCCCTTTGAAACCCACCAACCAGTATAATGTTATACAATTTCCCAAACCATTAATCTCTGTAAACACACAGAAAGGGCTCTTTTAGATTTAAAAAAAAAAAAAAAATTACAATGAATGATCCGCCCTCTGAACTCCACACCATTCATTTCATTTTGACAAGATTGAACCATCTTTTAGCACCTACAGTGCTTCATCAAATGGCACTGCCTGTATCAGAAGAGCAACCAAATCCCTGCAGTCATTAGACAAACACAGGAAACTCAGAGCAGAGTAAATCCACACGCCGTGGCAGAAACAGAGCCGTCACGTAGCTACCAAGAGGCTGACTTTTGATAACCTGTTGACTAACATACCACAAGAGGCTGACTTTCGGTCCACCATGTTTACACGCCTGGTTTCAGTACGCAGTTTCTCATCTGTGTTCTCCACTAGGTTGGCAAGGTCGTCAATTATTTCTAGAAAGGAAAGATACATAATTAATACTGCTAAAATGCCCTGGTTCACACCACAGTATCACAGCTGTGGTTGTTCTTCCTAGTAATAATTATATCATGTGCAGTAACTGAAAAGGTACAGAACTCATGTCGATTCTTTGAAAACTGCAATTCTGATTCTAAAAGGAAAAAAAAAAAAAGGAGCAGTAAAGAAGAAAACTGATGGAACACAATTCCAGGAGACAGGAGAAATGCCATGTTCAGAGGAAAGAAAGCATGGCCCACCAAATTTATGCCTAGCCAAGCTGTCATTGAAGTATAAAGGAACAGACAGGCCAAGTGAGGTGGCTCATGCCTGTAATCCCAGCACTTTGGGAGGCCAAGGTGAGCGGATTGCCTGAGGTCAGGAATTTAAGACCAGCCTAGCCAGTTTAAGACCAGCCTGGGGGTGGGCACATGTAATCCCAGCTACTCGGAAGGCTGAGGCAGAGGTTGCAGTGAGTCGAGATCACGTCACTGCATTCCAGTCTGGGTGACATAGTGAGACTCTGTCTCAAAAACAAAAACAAAAACAAAAACAAAAAAAAAAAAACAGACAATACAGTAGACATTAGGGACTACCTGCGTTCTTTTTGAGAAAGCTACATGATGAATAAATCTAGCCAATCAAGATATAAATAAAGAGATAATGGAGAGAACTGAATCCATTTGAATACTGAACTAAGAGTAAAAAAAATACATGGATTAGATAACAGAAAGGTATAGAAATGTCAGGACAGTAACGATGTAATTCCAACTGAAAAATTAGTCAGTGGTTGGGAGTAGGGAAGGAAGGTGAAAAGAATTTGAAAGTACTAATTTCTTCATCTCTCATAGCAAAGCATATTGAGCAGTTGAAAAGTTAATCATCTAGACATTTGCAGCCTTTTAAAATCACCAAAACTTCAGTGTTTTTTGTTAAGCTTGAGGGATCTATTAGTAATTACTATCTCTTATAAAGAATCCTTGATGTGAAATTCATCTCTCTCTCTTTTTTTTTTTTTTTTTTTTTTTGAGACAGAGTTTCGCTCTTGTTACCCAGGCTGGAGTGCAATGGCGCGATCTCGGCTCACCGCAACCTCCGCCTCCTGGGTTCAGGCAATTCTCCTGCCTCAGCCTCCGGAGTAGCTGGGATTACAGGCACGCGCCACCATGCCCAGCTAATTTTTTGCACCTTTAGTAGAGACGGGGTTTCACCATGTTGACCAGGATGGTCTCGATCTCTTGACCTCGTGATCTACCCGCCTCGGCCTCCCAAAGTGCTGGGATTACAGGCTTGAGCCACCGCGCCCGGCGCATCTCTCTCTTTTTTTTTGAGACAGAGTTTCACTCTTGTTGCCCAAGCTGGAGTGCAATGGTGCTATCTCAGCTCACCGCAACCTCTGCCTCACGGGTTCAAGTGATTCTCCTGCCTCAGCCTCCTGAGTAACTGGGATTACAGGCATGAGACACCATGCCTGACTAATTTTGTATTTTTAGTAGAGACAGGGTTTCTCCATGTTGGTTAGGCTGGTCTCAAACTCCTGACCTCAGGTGATCCACCTGTCTCAGCCTCCCAAAGTGTTGGGATTACAACTGTAGGTGGCCACCTACAGTCCCAGCTATTCGGGAGGGTGAAGCAGGAGAATTGCTTGAACCCTTGGCCAACATGGTGAAACTCCATCTCTACTGCTCCCAGCCCTCTTTTTTTTTTTTTTTAGACGGAGTTTCGCTCTTGTTACCCAGGCTGGAGTGCAATGGCGCGATCTCGGCTCACCGCGACCTCCGCCTCCTGGGTTCAGGCAATTCTCCTGCCTCAGCCTCCTGAGTAGCTGGGATTATAGGCACGAGCCACCATGCCCAGCTAATTTTTTGTATTTTTAGTAGAGACGGGGTTTCACCATGTTGACCAGGATGGTCTCGATCTCTCGACCTCGTGATCCACCCACCTTGGCCTCCCAAAGTGCTGGGATTACAGGCTTGAGCCACCTTGCCCGGCCTGTCCAGCCCTCTTTTTTAACTCTAATTTTTTAAAAGTGAAATTGAGCCCTTCACAACATATAAAATAGCATATATAGTTTGATCTTAACTATGTGAAATTATTTGTATCCATCTTTTAATATCTACAAACCTATAGGGCTACATGTGGGTAATATTAATCTAGTGCTAATCGTGATTATTGCTAGATGGTGAGATCCTGTGTGGCTGCTGCCTTCTTCCTTACATTTTTCTGTATTGTTTGAATTTCTTTCTTTCTGTTTTTTTTCAGAGACAGGGTCTTGCTCTGTCACACAGGCTGGATACAGGGGACTGTGATAGCTCACTGCAGTCTTCAATCACTAGGCTGTAGCAATCCTCCCATCTCAACCTCCTGAGTTCCTGAGACTATAGGCATGTGCCGGCACTCCCAGGGAATTGTTTAAATTTTTTGTAGAGGTAAGTCCCTGCTCTGTCACCCAGTCTGGTCTCAAATTTTTTACCTCAAGAGATCCTCCTGTTAAACTGTTAGCCTCTCAAACTGTTAGGATTACAGCCATGAGCCACTGCGCCCGGCCCAAATTTCTTACAGTGAGCATATATAGTCATATGCTGCAATATGACATTCTAGTCAATGACTGACTACATATACAACAGTGGTACCATAAGTGGTACAGTATTATAAGTTACAATACTGTATTTTTACTGTACCTTTTTTATGTTTGGATACAGAAATATTTACCATATATATATATATATATATATATATATATATATATATTTTTTTTTTTTTTTTTTTTTTTTTTTTAAGATGGAGTCTCACTCTTGTTGCCCAGGCTGGAGTGCAGTGGTGTGATAGCAGCTCACCACAACCTCCTCCTCTTGAGTTCAAGGGATTCTCTTGCCTCAGCCTCCCAAGCAGCTGGTTTTACGGGCACCCTTTACCACACCCGGCTAATTTTGACACGGGGTTTCTCCATGTTGGTCAGGCTGGTCTTGAACTCCTGACATCAGGTGATCTGCCCGCCTTGGCCTCCCAAAGTGCTGGGATTACAGGGGTGAGCCACTGTACTTGGCCTTTTTTCTCTTTTCTTTTTTTTTTTTAGATGGAGTCCCCCTCTTGTTGCCCAGGCTGGAGTGCAGTGGTGTAATAGTGACTCACCACAACCTCCTCCTCTCGAGTTCAAGGGATTCTCCTGCCTGAGCCTCCCAAGTAGCTGGGATTACAGGTGCATTCTACTACCACCTGGATAATTTTTGTATTTTTAGTAGAGATGGGGTTTCACCATGTTGACTGGGCTGGACTCGAACTCCTGACCTCAAATGATCTACCTGCTTTGGGCTTCCAAAGGGCTGGAATTACAGGTGTGCCACTATACCTGACCATATTTATCATCTTGTTACAACTGTTTACGTGCAATAACATGCTGTACAGGTTTTCAGCCTAGGGGGACTAGGCTATACCATACATGTAGCCTAGGTGTGTAGCAGGCTTTACCATCTAGGCTTGTGTAACTATACTCCATGATGATCGCACAATGATAAAATTACCTAACGACACATTTCTCAGAATGTATCCCTGACAAGGGATGCATAATTATTATATTTTTCATTTTGTTTTTTTCCCCTCCCTTCTCTCTCCTTTTCCCTATTTTTATAGTAACGGATTCAGAGATGTGTTGTTCAATACAAGTAACCATTTTCCTTAAAGCATTAAATAAAGTAAACAAGGAAATCAAATAAAGTTTCCAGAATGATGTGTGAGCTGAGTTCCAAAGCCTGTGTGGGTTAAAAAGCAGGAAAAAGGCAACTCATGTAAAAAGAATCATATCTGAAAGGCACAGAAGAGTTGGGCATTCCTGCTTCTTGCTTTCTGTAGCACTTTCTACAAACCTCTTACTTATAGACCCTATAGTTATATTCTATTGATTTGTTTACCTGTCTTTGACAGGAAGATTATGATATAAACTAATTTTTATTCTTCCTTATTTCTCCCACTCCTAGGAGAATGCCTTGTATACAGCAAGATAAAATCAATATGAAAAGATAAAGACAATGAATGGGCTGGGCGCAGTGTCTCACACCTGCAATGCCAGCACTTTGGGAGGCTGAGGGGGGCGGATCAGCTGAGGTCAGGAGTTTGAGACTAGCCTGGCCAACATGGTGAAACTCCATCTCTACTAAAAATATAAAAATGAGCCAGGTGTGATGGTGGGCACCTACAGTCCCAGCTATTCGGGAGGGTGAGGCAGGAGAATAACTTGAACCCTTGGCCAACATGGTGAAACTCCATCTCTACTAAAAATATAAAAATGAGCCAGTCATGGTGGTGGGCACCTGTAGTCCCAGCTATTCAGGAGGGTAAGGCAGGAGAATCACTTGAACCCAGGAGGCAGAGATTACAGTGAGCTGGGATCATGTTACTGCACTCCAGCCTGGGGGACAAAGCGAGACTCTGTCCCCCCAAAAAGGGCAATGAATGAACAGAGCCTACAACATAAAAACACTGTATCATTTTCACAGTATTTCGCTGCTTCTTAGAAGAGTGGATCTAAGCCGAATTTGTCAAATATTATCTAACACCTGCCTACAAAATTTTTTGCAATAAATTGTCATTTAATGATTCATTCAGTACTTTCTAGTCCCTTGTATTCAATAACATAGTGTCTCCCAATTTTCTTCTAATTTATCCAGAAGCTCCATCTAGAGTTTTCTCTTAAATGCGGGCAATACTCAAGTTTTGCATTGTTACTCGATAATATTACCATGGTGATTTTACATACCTTCTACCTTTTGCTTCATCAATATTTAACATAAAAATCTGAAACATGTCTGCTCTAGAGAGCTCTCCAAAATTCTTGACCCAACTGCCTACTACCAATCGCTACCTTGAAATACCAACATATGACCTCAAGATTTCTAAAATTAAACTCTTTATCTTTCTCCTAATTTGACTTCCCTCCTATATTCCCTGTCTCAATTAATGGTATCATCATTCATTTGCTTGCCCAACCTAGAGATCTTAA